AATTTGTGGCCTTCTTGCCTCCAAGCTAGATCTCCTCTCACAAATATCTTTAAGAGACAAGAGTAGTAATTAATCCAAATGCTAATATGTAACTACTGTTATCTAGGTAGTGAAAAGATGGGAGGAAAAAAAAATCTCACCTTCGTCACTCATGGTATCTGATTACACTTTATTAAGTATCAATATCATGTGATCTTAGTTATTACATGAAAATTATCCAGTAAATCTTCTTCACCGTCACTGGTGCTTAGTCTTTTGTGCCAGTTCATTAATACCTACTAAAATCTACTCGCAGTAAAATAGCTCTAATACATCAATTATTAATGTCTCGGAGATTCTCCGACTCCGATGCTCCCATGCACGTGAACGCCCCCCTCCATGCATATATAGCATCCGAAGCCCTACTCCCTCTCTCTCTCTATAAAACCCCTCCAAAAGCCAACCTCAAGACTCCAACTTATTAGAGACAGTGAGAGAGATAGAGTGAGAGAAAGCCATGGAAAAAGCCATTATCCTCTCCTTCCTCCTCGTCTCCCTCCTCTCCTCCTCCCACGCCGCCGACTTCTGCGTCGCTGACCTCACCGCCGCCCCCACCCCTCCGGCTACCCCTGCAGAAGGAATCAGCCCTCACCGCCGACGACTTCGTGTTCACCGGCCTCGGCATGGCCGGAAACACCTCCAACATAATCAAGGCCGCCGTTACTCCGGCGTTTGTGGGGCAGTTCCCGGCCACCAACGGCCTTGGGATCTCTGCCGGCCGTCTCGACCTTGCCAAAGGTGGGGTTATTCCGTTTCACACTCATCCCGGGGCCAGTGAGGTCCTTATAGTGACTCAGGGGTCTATTTGTGCCGGATTTGTGACTTCGAGTAATAAGGTTTATACTAAGACGTTGAAGAAGGGGGATTCTATGATTTTCCCTCAAGGATTGCTTCATTTTCAGGTATGTTATTTATTTTCTTAGTTATTTGTGAAAATGTTTGTATTTCCACTTGGATTTATATCAAATTAGCTGATGAGTCATCAAGGACCCCTACAATTTTTTGGATATAGTAGTGGAGAAGACTAGGAGTAGTCTGGAATTAAAAATGTAGTGTAGTTATCGTTACTCTATCGTTATCATAATTCGGTATATTATTTTCACTACGTATGTGAGAAATTTGCATTGATGAAATTAGATTGATGAAGTTTCTTTAATTTTAAAACCTTCAGTACTAGTTAAAACAAGACTAAATGACTTGTGTGAATTTTACCCATTTGAAACAATTTACATGCTAGCCAGTAGCCCTACACAGAATATAATTTCTGTTTGCCCAAATAGTACTTTTGAAACTACAACTAGCCGGGGAATAGAAAAAAAACGTTATAAATTTAGGATAATTTAACATTCTCCAGGAGGGATTTTTTAACCTATCTACCCCCAAAATCAGCCATATTTACAAACCCCTCAAACTCGACCAAGTTGAGTTAAGATCCCCCCAAATTAAACTCGACGTCATTAGTTTATGAACAGTGCAGGGGAAATTTCAGGTAAACAACTAACCAAAAAAAAAAAAAACAAGTGTATTCTTTTAACCTAACTTTACAGGTATTTTAACTCAACATGGTAGAATTGAGGGGGGTAAATTTCCATTTATGTTTGATTTGAGGGTATGTAGGTAAGAAAACATGTTTAAAAATACACAGGAAACTTTATAAACCCTGATCTTGCGTCTGCAGTTAAATGCAGCGGGCGTGACATCAGTCGCCATAGTGAGCTTCAGCAGCCCGGAGCCAGGGCTGCAGATCCTAGACTTCGCTCTCTTCGGCAACAACCTCAAGACTGCATTGATCGAGGCCGTCACTTTCCTCGATGCAGCCACCATCAAGAAGCTCAAGGGTGTCCTCGGCGGCACCATGTGATCTGCCATGCATGGGGGGGGTCTCGTCAGGGTTTCCGAGTTCTTGTTTGTGTTTCCATAGATTTTGTGTTCGGAGCAATTAATGGTGGTATTTGTTTTCTCAATATATGTTGTATGTTATTTGGTGTTTGGTTTTTCTTAGGCGACTATGTTTATTGGGACTCAAGGTTTAATTAATTTGAATTGGTTGTTAGTTAAATGTTTGATTTCAATTGTATGTTTGATTATTGGGAAAATTATTACTAATATAGAACTGAATTGTGCTTATTCCTATATTTCGGGCATGATTAGATGCTAACCAGAGAAAGTAAACTCTAAACTTGTACTTCTGTGGACTTTTTCATACTTCTTCCTAATTGAGCGAGTGGTAACTCTCTAGTCGGTGAAGAGTCTTTCTCTCGTCCAGTTGTTGGGTCGTTTTCTTGCCAACTAATAATCGCCCACATCCTCTTTTGTCACAAGAGAATTTTCACTATGTTTGATATCTTACTTGTCACATTCAGGAGCCCAATCAGAACAGATCCAAAATAATAATAATAATAATAATAATAATAATTGAACAAGCTCCATACAGAAAAATTATAGAGAAATCAAAAGGTACATGGGTATCCGCAATGTCAAAGAAAACATGCAGGAAGAAGTTGAGTGCAGAAATACTGAGGTGAAGAAATGGTATCAGACAATCAACAATAAATACCTAAAGCTGAAGACGAATAGACATACGATAATACAAGAGAACAGGACATTATTGCAAGATGGAAAGAGATGTTATTATTTGTTCTGTTGTTTGGTGCATATGGCAGGAGCGTAATGATAGACTCTTTTCTAACAAGAAGAATAGGTCTCTTGAGCTTTTGAGCAAGATTTTGACATTCTCAACCTTTTGGCTAGGTCCTAAGAGTATTTCTGCTCGAGCGGCCAGGCTTCAAGAGAGAAGAAGAAAGAGGAATGAGCTATCTGGAGCTGTACAAGTTACTAGAGCTCCCGAATTGATTTTTTTATTTTTTTATTTTTATTTTTTATATGTATTATATTATATATGTATTATATGTATTATATTATATATGTATAATATATGTATATATAATATATTTTTATATATGTATAATATATGTATATATAATATATTTCTATATATGTATAATATGCCATATGTGTGTATATATATACTCTCTCTTAGTATATAAGTATACATACTCTCTCTTATATATGTATACTCTCTCTTATATAAGTATATATAAGTATACACTCTCTTATATATGTATAATATATGTGTGTGTGTGTGTGTATATATATATACTAATATACTCTCTCTCTTAGTATATATGTATATATAAGTATACTCTCTCTTATATATGTATACTCTCTCTTATATAAGTATATATAAGTATACACTCTCTTATATATGTATAATATATGTTTGTATATATATAGGGAGAGGTTCAAATAAAAACCTCACTATCCTAAAAACTAAAAATCAATCCTCTCCATTGGATCCTGATTCATCCAATGGCTGAGATTAAAGCTGCATAAGGGTAATCAGGTAAAATTAACAGCCCCCAAAGAGAGGTAATTAATGCTTGTCTGTTGAGTTCTCCATGCAAGAGTAAGAAATAAATGCATGTGCTGTAATTTTATTTTCAACAATTAAATAATTAAATAATAAATGCAAGTTTAGTTTTCCATTTCCCCATGTGATCTCACGGCTCAGGCAACCCAAAAAAAAAATCTAGAGTCACTGGAGTGAATCTGGATTCATTGGAGTGAATCTGGATTCACTGGAGTGAATCTAGAATCTGGATTCACTGCAGTGAATCTGGATTCACTCTAGTGAATCGAGAATCATTGTAATCGAGATTCACTGCAGTAAATCGAGATTCACTTCAGTTGTTTTTCTTCATCTCGAGCGTTATCGTTTTTGGGAATTATTGCTAATTAATTACAGTGTGTTTCGTGAAATGGAGTGTTTGACTGGATAATTAATTACAGTGTGTTTCCTTAGTGAATCTTTCTTAAATTACCCCTTTTACATTAATTTTGACAGGTGATGTGTATTTAATATGTATTTATTTTTAATTCTGCCATTTTCAATTCACTGCAGTGGATGAATCTCGATTCACTATAATGAATCGAGATTCACTGAAGTAGTGAATCGAGATTCACTTCACTTTAAATAGTCACTGATGCGAAAGAAACTTCATTCCTTCGTATTCATTGTTTCACATACACGTCTCTTCATAAAATAGGGGCAACAAACAACCAATGAATTCAGATTCGCTTGAGTGAATCCAGATTCAGTGGATTGAATCCAGATTCACTCCAGCGAATCCAGTTTCACTTCAGTAGCAGCACAACAGCACATCAGCAGCAACACAGCGCAACAAGACCATCAACTTATGAACAACAATTAAATAAATATTAGCTCCAACTTGTGAACAATAACTAAATAAATATTAACTAGATATGGCTCTCGATTCACTCCAATGAATCTAGATTCACTGGAGTGAATCCAGATTCACTCCAGCGAATCCAGAGAGAGAGAGAGAGAGAGAGAGCGGCGTCGGCGACGGGGCTTCAGCGTCTTCGGCGTCTTCGAGAAGCCGGTCGAGGGGAGCTCGTCGAGGGGCTTCGTCTAAAAGCGGGTCGAGAGTCTGATTGCCGTCGGCGATCTGTTCGAGGGTCTTCGACGTCGTTGGGAGATAACTGGTCGAGGGTCGTCGAGGGGAGCTCGTCGAGGGGCTTCGTCGAAAAGCGGGTCGAGAGTCTGATTGGCGTCGGCGATCTGTTCGAGGGTCTTCGACGTCGTTGGGAGATAACTGGTCGAGGGTCTTTGGCGTCGGCGAGAAGCTGGTCGAGGGGAGCTCGTCGAGGGTCCTCGGCGTCGACGCGCTCGTCGAGACTCGTCGGCGTGAGCTAGAGCGCAGGGGGAGGGAGAGCTCAGGAGGAAATTTGGGGATCTCAATTTGGGAGAGCTCGAGCTCTTTAATTCACGTGAGCTGCAGTTTCCAATGTTTTAATAATTATCTCCAGTTTCCAATGTTGCCAACCACCATTGTTCGTTCTAATTTTACCATTTTCACATTATTCTTTACAGCTGATGTGTATTAGATTTGTCTATATTTTCAATTCTGCCATCGAAATGTAGGCCATTGGATTAGATACTTAGTATAGAAGTATAGTATATTACAATGGTTACTTCCCCATTGGCCCAACGAGCAACGGCTACAGGGTTACTTATGCGATTCTCTCTCTCTCTTAAATTATAACTTATAAATATATATAATATATTTACATATAATATATGTATATATAATATATGTATATATAATATATAGTTACATAATAATTTATAAGTATATACTAATACATAATTATATAAAATATAATAATATTAAACTAATTTTTAGCATTTTTTTATCGAAAAGAAAAGAAAAGAAAAAAATTTAAAAAAAACCTAGTTGGGATGTACTTATCTATTGTGATGCGATGAATTACAAAATAAATTTATACTTGTAATTTGTAAATGATTTATTAATTATTAATAAAGAATTTATTTTTATAATTTTTAATTTATAATTTATGTCATTTTAAGTGATTAATAAAATTATTGTTTTTATTAATTTTTTGTCTTTTTTTATAATTTAAAATTTAAAAAATTTGATAAAAAATTAAAAAAAAAAGAAAATAAATCGGGCCAGCCCGGAACCCGGCCCGGGGTACCCGGGTCCGGGCTCCGGTTTTGCCCGGCCCAGACCCGGATTTCCGGGCCGGGCCGTGCCAGCCCGGATGGACATGCCTAGCTGCAGGAAGAGAGAACATGAGCATTGAAAATTTTGTGATTCAGCTGGAATGATGATCTTTGGATGCAGTGTTTTAAATGATGTTTTGATGTTAAAAACTTTTGCTGAGTATGGAACTCACTACTATTTTAGTTTAGTAGTTGTAGATAAGTGTTTTGGGAGATTTAATACTTTGTGCAAGAGTGTTTTTGTTTGTTTTGTAAGTTCGGTTGGGATTTGAGTGCACATTTTTTATTGGGGATGTACACATTATATGTAATAACCAGTTTATATTAATTTAGCTGGATGGATTACTGTTATGGTAATCCATCATTTTTCTAAAAAAAAAAGAGAACAGAACATTATGAACCAAAAACATTGGACCTAAAGCTAGCCATGTACATTTTACCAGAAGCACAATATTAGTACCTAAACAAATACAAGCCAGAAGAAAGATGAACAGGCTTGATGCCTTTATTATGCATCATATAAAAGGTCATAAACAACAACAATAACCATCAATAACTGGCAAAAACTGACAAAAAAAGAATTCCCTCGTCAATTAACTATTTTTCCCTCTAAGAATTACTCACACTGGCTTCCAGGATTGTTAAAATTTTTAAAGTAGGAAGAATAAGTATCCTGATGCACACAGTAGCCACCAATTGCTACGGGCTTAACAGACCGCGACAGTGAGTTCCATGTTAGTTATATCCATCCATTGTCGTAGCAATTCCTTCCGCCCCCAAACCTCTTTTCTGGATATGGCAATGTATTCTATTCCTTCTAGCGTATAGGCTCTGGAAACTGGAAAGCTTCAACTCTACTCCTTCGAACAAGAAACTATCAATTGAACCGGAAGAATGTTATCTTTAGAGACTTTATGATGAATGTTAGCGAAAACTAACATCCATAGTTGCTATAAGGAGTTTCTATATATCCTGTACCAGTGTCCCCCAAGACCAGGGAGCAAGGAGAAATCAGGGCCTCTGGAGAATCAGTTTATTCCCTTTTATGTGATTTTTCACAAATGCAGCCTGGCAGAGGATTGGTGTAAAAACTCTCCTCCGACTTCGGAAACTCTCCAGGCTCTCTATAATATGGACCACCAATTCTGTCTCTGTGTAGTGTTTTCACCTTTGAACTGAACTTTTTCCAAGAGATAATCCCTTCATCGAACTCGTCAACGAGTTTTACAATATTTAACCTGCAAGAAAATGCAAGTGAATTCAGTTAAAAAATATTCTTATGAACGGAATATTAAAAAAAGATATGTTAAATTGACTACAAACTGTAAAATGTGCAGCAAATTCAATAAGATCAACCAGAAGGACTTGGGCATCCCCAATTACACATTTGTAGGTAAAGCTACTCTTAACAATTTCCATGTTTCCTTGACTATCAGATATTACGGTACGTCTTTGAAATTTATT